AAGTTCAGTGTTCATGATTCAACACTAAGAAAGAGACGAGACAAAAACAGCATCTGTGATTTCCAACATGAAGAGCACTGCTGACCAAAGAGGCCTGTGGTCATGGTCACATCAACCTGTGGTCAAGAAAGCGATCACAACACTTAAACTGGATGAACTTGGATGAGTGAGCGAACAACATCATGTAAATCAGATGTTTTTGGTCTGTCCATCCACAGCCACTGTCTTTTTTTGATGTTTGAATACCTCAAAAACTATTACAGATAAAACCTTGCCATCAAAATGAATCAGGATCTATAACTTGGGACACATTAATGTAATTAAGTGTCTGAGTACTGAGTCGTCAAAATATGAACAGAAAGGTGACGCACTTCTTCATATTCTCTTGAGCTGAACTCAAACATCTGAAACATACACAAAAGACCCATGACTCTCAAATATTGTTCTTATATCTTTATAAATCTGTGTTAGTGAGCACTTTTCCTTTACCAAGATAATCCACTCACAGGTGCGGCATATCACGGGGCTGATTTGACAGCATTAATAATGTACAGGTGTGCCTTAGACTGCCCACCATAAAAGGCCTCTCTGAAATATGCAGTTTGATCAAACAGCACAAAGCTACAGGTGTCGCAACTTTTGAGGGAGCGTGCAATGGGCATGCTGACTGCAGGAATACCAGAGCTGTTGCCCATGAAATGAATGTTCATTTGCCATAAGCCGTCTCCAAAAGCGTTTCAGAGAATTTGGCCGTACATCCAACCGGCCTCACAACCGCAGACCACGTGTAACCACACCAGCCCAGGACCTCCACATCCAGCATGTTCACCTCCAGGATCGCCTGAGACCAGCTGCAGCAACGATCGGTTTCCATAACCGAAGAATTTCTGCACAAACTGTCAGAAACCACTTCAGGGAAGCTCATCTGCGTGCTCGTCGTCCTCATCGTGGTCTGGACCTGACTGCAGTTCATCGGCGTAACCGACTTGAGTGGGCAAACACTCACATTCGATGGAGTTTGGCACATTGGAGAGGTGTTCTGTTCACAGATGAGTCCCGGTTTTCACTGTTTAGGGCAGATGGCAGACAGCGTGTGTGGCATCGTGTGGGGGAGCGGTTTGCTGATGTCAACGTTGTGGATCGAGTGGACCGTGGTGGCGGTGGGGTTCTGGTATGGGCAGGTGTATGTTATGGACAACGAACACAGGTGCATTTTATTGATGGCATTTTGAGGTACCGTGACGAGATCCTGAGGCCCATTGTTGTGCCATTCGTCCACGACCATCGCCTCATGTTGCAGCATGATGATGCACGGCCCCATATCGCAAGGATCTGGAAGCTGAAAACATCCCAGTTCTTGCATGGCCAGCATACTCACGGACACATTTCAGAGTGGCATCTTATTGTGGGCAGTCTAAGGCTACGTTCACACTGCAAGCGAAAGCACATCAAATCAGATTTTTTGACCCTATGCGACCCATATCCGATCATGGTGTGACAGTGTGAACGGCACAAATCCGATATTTTCAAATCCGATCTGGGTCACTTTCGTATGTGGTACTGAATCCGATACATATCCGATGTTTTAGAAAGCTGCTGTTCGAACGGTCAAGTCGCATTAAATCTTTTACATCACTGACACAAGACAGACGCCAACTATCAGCGCCGGAGAAGACATCGCGAACGCTTCCTGACCATCCAGTGAAACTGTTGGGACGACAACGTTGGAGAAACGTGAACATTTTATTCGTACTGTATAATCGAAACAAATCTTTATATTTAGGTCATCAGTCAAACAATACTGTTTGCTCTGGGTCTAAACAGAGCGCGTTGTGTGTGACGTCTTCTTTTGCGCCGCTTTGAGCGTTCACACTAGAGCGCGTTTGCTGTCACATTTTATTTGTAGTGTGAACAAGCAGACAAATAAATTGGAATTGAGCATTGAGACCTGCAGTGTGAATGTAGTCTAAGGCACACCTGTACATTATTCATGCTGTCTAATCAGCACCTTGATATGCCACACCTGTGAGGTGGGATGGATTATCTTGGTAAAGGAAAAGTGCTCACTAACAGATTTATAAAGATTTGAGAACAATATTTGAGAGTCGTGGGTCTTTTGTGTATGTTTCAGATGTTTGAGTTCAGCTCATGAAAAATGGGAGCAAAAACAAAAATGTTGTGTTTATATTTTTGTTCAGTGTAATAAAAACTATACTAGAACTTTCAACCTTTTTAAATGCATCTTGAAACATTTTATATATATAAAGTTTATGACAGTATTCATTATGGACTCTTAAACGTCTTGTTTTAATGGTTAAACAGATAATAGTTAATAGAAAATATTCTAAAAATGTGCACTGAGATGGACCGAGGTGTTTCCAGTATTACAAAATTCGGCTTGTTACCGTAGGGGACTTTTTTCATACTTGAACTGCTACTTAGACACTTTTTCATGCATCTCTCCAAGATTCAGATTTTTGTTTTTTTAAGTTAAGAAAGACCTGTTAAAATTTCAGGCTTTTATTTTTAGCTTTTGAGAGAGCCTGGCTCAAGCATTGGCTCAGATTTCAAAGTGCAAAGAAAAGCCTGAAAGTGGACAAACCAGTGCTTTTAAATGTTAAACCTATATTTAAAAAAATGTCAGTTTTATTTAAAATAAATAAATAAATAATTATGAAGCTTGGTTCATGTTTGTATGTACACTACCAGTCAAAAGTTTGGACACACCTCATTTAATTGTTGTTTTTTTTATCATTTTCACAACTATTTACACTGGATGTCTTCAGTGAGAATCTACAAACTATGAATGAACACATATGTTGTAAACAAAAAGTGAGAAATAACATGATTCATACTTTAGATTCTTCCTAACAGCCGCCCTTTGCTTTGATTCCTGCTTGGCGTTCTCTCCATGAGCTTCATGAGCTCGTCTCCTGAAATGGTTTCCAACAGTCTTGAAGGAGTTCAGAGATGCTGAGCACTTGTTGGTCCTTTGCCTTCACTCTGCGCTCCATCTCATCCCAAACCATCTCCACTGGGTGTAGGTCAAGTGACTGTGCAGGACTCCATCACTCTCCTTCTTGGTCAAATAGCTCTCACACAGCCTGGAGGTGTGTTTGGGGTCATTGTGCTGAACCAAAGATCTCAAATTTGGACTCATCAGACCAAAGCACAGATGTCCACTGGTCTAATGTCCATTCGTTGTGTTTCTTGGCCCAAACAAATCTCTTCTGCTTGTTGCTTTTCCTTAGTCGTGGTTTCTTAGCAGCTATTCGAACATGAAGGCCTGATGTGACTCTTGGTCTTCCTTTCCTGGGGCGTCCTCATGTGAGATAGCTTCATTGTAGCACTTGATGGTTTTTACGACTGCACTTCAAAGTTTTAGCAGTTTTCCGACTGACTGACCTTCAGTTCTTAAAGTAATGATGGGCTGTTGTTTCTCTTT